CCATTCCATCTCCCTACATCCCTACTCCCATGGTAAATGATATTCTCAATTCCACTAATCGTTTCCTTATTTTCCTTTTTATAAACATTTAGTATATCTACTGATGTCTTACACATTTTTAAAAACTTATGACAAAGGACCACATTATATACAATCCTTTGAGACTTACATTGCTAAAATTCATCTACACTGCTATATATTTCTGTAGTTTGTTTTGGTTATTCTCCTTTGGTTCAATTTGCAAACACATCCGTTCATACAGTCACTTTTCTGCCAATAAAAACATTTAGTTCCCAGGATTTTGTTATTATCAACCATGTTACTGTAGCAGTAGCTCCTTACCTGTGGTTTCAGTTACCTGCAGTCACTCATGGTCTGAAAATGTTGAGTAAAATTTCAAAAGCAAACAATTTATAAGTTTTAAATTGTCTGCTGTTCTTACTAGTATGATGAAATCTCATGTAACTCAGTTCTGTTCCAACCCAGACATGAATCACCTCTTTGTCCAACATATCCATGCTATCGCCACTGCCTGCCTATTATAGGTATCCACTGATTATCAGACAGACTGGGTATTACAGTGCTTATGTTCAACGATCCCTTATGTAGTGGTGTAACACTAGGTCACAATGCCATGTCATTTACCTCACTTCATCTCATCATGTAGGTATTTTATCATCTCACATCCTCACCAAAGTATGAAGAAGAGTCACCAAAGTATTTTAATAGAAAGATCACAGTCATACAACTTTTATTAGAAGTTTTATTTTATTTTATTAAATAATTTTATTAGCTTAAAATTAAGTTATAATTCTTCAATTTTATTAGCTATTGTTATTAATCTCTTACTGTGCCAAATTTATAAATTAAACACCTATTTACACAGGTGTATAAATATAGGAAAAAACAGTATCTATAGAGTTCAACAGCATCCAGAGTTTCCAGTACCGCTAATAGTCCTGAACTTATCATACCCCCATGGACAAGGGGGGACCTACTGTACAAAAATATGCTTGTGTGTGCCTTGTGCAGTCAATAGGAAAGGGTTTTTTCCATGCATATACTGTCAGGAAAAATCCAAGATGATGTGGTATCTCTATGTTTGAGTATAGGAGGTAATGTCAGAGTTTTCCAGAGTGACCACAACAGTTTACTCTCCATCAGCTACATGTAAGGAAGCCTACAGATTCACATCTTCTCTAACATTTACCACGTTAAGATGGGATAACCATGTTTTCCTCATCCACATTAATTAGTTTCTCCTTTTTCCACTTGTGGGGCATGCTTCCTTTGCCATATTTTCAAGTTTTTGGTTTACTTACTTCATCTCTGCTCCAGGTTCTCCGTCTTGTGATTGTTAAGTGGTCAGGAGGCTCTGCTGGTTGAGGTCTTGAATCACCAGAACGACCATTGTTTCCTTCTGGTGTTTTACACTGAACTAATGGAGGGATCTTTCGGAAGTTGAGACTTTCATCAAAAACACGATCAACCAACTAGTAGGACAAAAGCAAACCTTTATGAGGACAAAGTAACTTGGGAAAGTATAGATTGGCATTATAATTGTTATGATTAGACAGAAGTTACTTCATTCTCAAGTAGTGAAGTAGCATGACATCTTCAATAAACCAATTACTTTTCAATATGCACTTCAAAAGTATTTCTTTAATAAAATAGATGTTCACTTCCATAGGTCTCATTTGCAGAATCCAATATATGTAACTATAAATTCAATGCTTCCGTGAATAAAACTTTCTCCAAATGAAAAACAGATGCTAAAGAGAAATAAACCCTAAGCCATGTGACTAGACAATGAGTTCACTTACATTGCCTTACCAGCATAAAATAATGTTTCTTCTTCTTCTTTATTTATTTTTTTTAGTTTTGTATCTTGTTTTTTCCTTTTTTCCTCCCCAAATCCAGGTGCCAAATTTCTTCACAAGATCCATAAATTGCAAATTCCAATTAAGTTTACAAAAGGAAAAGAACTTAAATCTATATAGTAAGTATTTTGGTTTTAGTCAAATAAACTTTTCACAATGACATGGAAATTGCATATGCTAGTAAAAATGATATGCTGCCATCTGCAGTCAAATTACAGACATACAATACTAAGTAACTCAGGTTTACTGAAGAGGGATTAAACTCTAATGCAGTATTCTGAAATCAAACAAAAAGGAAAAATGGAAGTCTAGTCAATGAAATGTTTCAGTAATTTTATTGGTCTGGGTGAATGTATAACCATGTTAGGCAAAATTTAGTTAGAAAGCTGAGAAAAGAATATTATTATTTTAAATGTACCAGAGAAATGTGTATGTCTTGCCACCAAGAAGATCCTTTTTTTTAATCAATAAGAATGATTTTATATATAGTTACAACTGATCGAATGGTAACAAAACTCTACACAGACTGATGAACTAACATTTATTAGACAACATGTGAAGGAAGGAAAGCAAACAAAAAGTGATCATTAAATAACTATATTAAAGAAGGAATGTGACAAAAAGCAACAGAAGAAAAAGTTGCCAGAATTAAATGTCAAAAAGGCTAGCCATTTTTAGCTACTATCTAAACCACTGTTTAATAAAAGGAAGTGAAGTCATCTTCATCAGGGGCTAGGAAATTTTATTTTTGTAAAGTGACAGATGATAAATAGTCAAGGCTTTGCGGCCATACAGTCTCTATCTCAGCTATTCAATTCTACCCCAGCAACACAGAGACAGTCACAGATAATAAACAAGTGAGATAGTTATATTTAATGAAACTTTAGCTATGGACACTGAAATGTAATTTCACATTATTTTCATGTTATTAATTATTAATCTTTTTGATTTTTCAATCATTTAAAAACATAAAAACCATTTCTAGTTTTTAGTTCATATAGGGTCTCCCTATGTTGCCTAGGCTGGCCATGAATTCATGATCCTCCTGCCCCAACCTCCCCTTTTTTTCTTTTTTTGGTGGGACTAGGGTTTGAACTCAGGGTACCATGCTTGCAAAGCAGGTGCTCTAGCACTTGAGTCACACCTCCAGTCCATTTTGTTCTGGTTAATTTGGAGATGGGGCAGGTAGGTCTCACAAACTACTGTCCTGGAATCTGGATCCTCGTGATCTCAGCCTCCCAAGTAGCTAGAGCTATGGCATGAGCCCCAGCACTCGGCAACCAATCTCATCTTCTTGTGTGTTAAGCTTACAGATGTGCATCACTACACCTGGCTCATATTCACTCTCCCATCTCTCTTTTTTTGCAGTGCTGAGAGTTGAATCCAGAACTTTGCCTTCCAAGGCATGAGCTAAGTCCCCAGCCCTCAAATACATCTTTTAAATGCCAATCCTTTAGATTTTTACCCCAGATCAAAATAGTTAACAGGGCCAGAGTGTATAGTCAACTCTCCATCTGGAGATTAAAGCAAATGAGGAGCTGCATGCTTAATCAACATACTTGTTGATCAATCCCCAAACAATACAGAATAACTACTGCAAAGCAGTCACATTGTATTAGGTAATATACGTCATCTAGAGATGATTTAAAGTCTATAGGAGGATGCACACAGGTTATATGCAAATACTGTTATCACTTTATGCATGGGGTTTGTTATCTGCAGGAATGAGAAGGGAGGCCCTGGAACTCCACAGATACTGAAGCACAAGAGACCACTGTGTCATTAATTTTATGTTACAGGACATTTCTGGAACAATGCTAGGCAAATAGTGTCCCCTGGGCTGTACTGCAGGAGGCCATGATTTTGGCTGGGCAACAGTCTACTTAGCTTGCTTATTTTCCAGAGTTTATAAAAACAGTGAGTATGTGTGTGTGTGCATATGTGTGTATATATATATATACATTTCAGTTTTCAAAATATCCTTTTGTGTATGTGTGTGTATTCATCAACAGAAATGTTATTTAAAGTAGTGAAAACTGTAGAATTTTCCTCTTTGTTAAGAGTTATTACCTTGTGTACTAGCAATGAAAATACCTTTTTAAATTCAGTGTTTTCATAGTCAAACTTTGTTGAAACTTTATACAGTCAATCTGTCAAATTTTGGTTTGCTTTTGGATACCATTATATCCACATTTCAAGTAAAGTTATGGACCAGGAACTGGCAGGCAAAGTGTGTACACCAAATGACTTTCCACCTTCATGTTAATAGTAGACCAAAATGTTAGCCTTCTAGCTTTTACTAGTTTTGTTACAAAAACATAAAATAAATTTGCTAAAGCAAAGTTGGGAGATGCAGAGCTTCATGCAAACAGGGAGGGTGGACATAAGTAAAATAAACCAAGAAAAAGCTGAAAGCAAAAGAAATAAAGAAAAGAAAGAACCTTATGCATCTCTCCATGAAGATCTCCTACCTCTTCTCTAGTGTCTATGGCAGAGCCAGGGGTGGTGGCAGCAGTGCTTACTGTGGTGCTAGGGGCAGTGCCTGATGAAGTCACTGAGTCTATTTCTCCCGCTACATCGTTGATCTCCCGAGCAATGAGAGCAAGATCTTGGCTGATCCTGGTAACGGTGTTAGAAAAGAAGTTTAATTCCTTTTAACCAATAGCTCAAGAAACAATGATTTATGAAAGAACCAGTCACAGAAGATATATAAATAACAATTTGTACCCCAAACTTAATGATTCTTTGGAAATGCTCTCAACTATTTTGGTAACAAGAAGTCTTAAACTTTAATTTCAAAAACTAATATTAATAAAACTACATTTCCCAATAATCTGTATCATCTTGAAGAGTAAATTTTAAATACTCTGAAGGAGAAACATGCCTTTAAGTGTATACTGCTTCTGTTAGTGACAGCACTACTACCACAGAGATTTTTAAACTTGGAGAGCTGACTGATAGAATTCAAGAGGTCTCTGAATGTGGAGAAGAAATAATTACATTGTTTTCACTAATCTGTAATTGATGCGCGGTGTTTCTTCCAATTATAAATATAGGCAACAAACTACAAGAGTTTTAGCAATGCTAATGATGTGTTTCACCAACAGAAATCACATTATCATGGCTGTATATATTCCAAAAGATAACTATGGTCATCACTTTGATGACATCTTCAAAACTAAACGCACAGTAACACTTTTATCAAATATGTTCATCAAGAACCATACTACATCACTTTAAAATATTCTGACAACTGACTTTCAATATAATTGGAATTCTTAATAATTCTAAGTATTTTATACATTTAGAAACACTGAGAAGGCTTCATAAGCTTCACCACTACATGGCCAATAAAGCCTATTTGTTCCATGGAACTGTATACTATGTGGAGCACTTTCTATTACACGAGGTCATTTAAAGGTCATGAAGCATTTGTGAGCTAAGACTTGCACCATTTTGTGAATGGGCACAGATTCTCAGAGGTTGCATGGCCTGCTCATGACTGTACAGCTTAGACGAACCCACTGCAGGACCCAACCCCAGGATGAGTATGCACACCCATAAAGCTATTTATGTGTTCAACCTTGTGAACTAATGGACAAGTCATCTTTTTAAAAATTTACTTATTTATTTTTTTCTTTTCTCCTTTTATTTTATTACTTTTATATTTACTTACAGGTGTATACATTGTGCTACCTCCCCCTCCCCTGCCAACTGCTTCTGGGCAGAGCCTGTTCTGCCCTCTTGTTCTCCGGTTTTGTTGAAGAGAAAACATAGGAGATAATAAAAAGGACATGGCGTTTTTGCTAGTTTGAGATAAAGACAGCCATACAGAGAGATTCCTAGCATTGCTTCCATGCACTTGTGTATTGCAACCCACACTGGTTCATCACTACCAGACCTCTTCACTACTTTCTGGTCCCCTTCCCATAGTGGCCTCTGACAGTTTAAGATTGCTATATTCTCTCCTCTACAGTGAACACATCAACCACATTCAAATTTTAGGTTTCCTTCCTTTTCCCTATTCCTCCCGTGCACATTCTCCCCTTAGTGTGTGACCCATGACCAGTAACATTACTGCATTTGTTTTAGGTCTATAATCTACATATGAGGGAGAACATGCAATTTCTGGCCTCCTGAGCCTGGCTAACTTCGCCTAAGATGATGTTCTCCAGTTCCATCCATTTACTTGCAAATGACAAACTTCATTCTTCTTTGTGGCTGTGTAAAATTCCATTGTGTATAAATACCACATTTTCTTAATCCATTCATCAGTAGTGGGCCATCTTGGCTGTTTCCATAGCTAGGTTACTGTAAATAGTGCTGCAATAAACATGGGTGTGCAGGTGCTTTTGTAATAACTTGAGTTGCATTCCTTTGGGTATATCTCTAGGAGTGGTATTGCTGGATCATATGGTAGATCTATGTTTAGTTTTTTAAGAAGCCTCCATATTGTTTTCCAAAGTGGTTGTACTAGCTTGCATTCCCACCAGCAGTATATGAGGGTCCCTTTTTCCTGCATCCTCGCCTGCATTTGTTGTTGGTGATGTTCTTGATGCTACTTATTCTAACAGGAGTGAAGTGGAATCTTAGTGTGGTTTTGATTTGCATTTCCTTTATGGCCAGGGATGGTGAGCATTTTTTCATGTGTTTTTTGGC